CTGGCACTGTCTTCTTGTGCTCCTACCTTTGCAGCTATAATTGGCCACCTGACATCTTTGTTCATTTAATTTGTGCAGTCTATGGCTGCACATTAATTCTGTGTGTTTGTGCAATCAGTTTTTGTTTTTTTTTGTCTATTGCTTGACATGTCAGCCGACATCTCAGCTGAATATGGAATCAATTGTGTCATGATTTGTTCACATGGGAAACTTAACCTGGCAATAACTGCATCAGATAAACGCTAATTGAACTTATCGAGGTATTTAAATGTACCACATGTGAGTGTGGCTCTGCCTGTCCTTTGCTTTGCTTCAGTATCTCTGTGCATTTGTACATATGTTTGCTTTGCTAAAAGGCTTGGCACTGAGCAGACCTTTTGTAGTCGACAGCAGCAGGCTTCCTGCCCAGCTCCTGTGGTTTATGGATGTGAATCAGAATTACATTACACTCAAGCCAAATGAAAAACTACCCATCATGCTGTTGTGAGAGTGCCGCACTTGCCAACTCTGCTAGTGTTGTGCAGAAGCTGAGACCAAACCTACCTTTACCTCATGCTGTCAGTCTATTAATACTTACATTAATGGCCCATAAAGTCAGCCGAAGCCAATGTAAAAGCTGCGTGACAAATCGAGTCTCTATTTGAGCCGAGTCTAATGATATTACAGTAGTACGACTACAAGTAATAGAGCAGTGTGTTAAAAAAGCAATAAAAAGTAAATTTCAACGTAGCGCTTTAACATTGCATTACATAATTAAAGTGCCATGTGAGAAATCGCACAATTAACGCAGAGCCTTACAACCAGCCGAGAGACAAACGGTTGATTCTTATAATTACTGCTGTGAAGTGAGTCAGTGGAGTGAGGGAAGAAGGGAACTATTTTTTAGAAGGGAAACGGTTTTAGAAATGCATTTCATCTTTTTTGTAAAATCAAATTAGAGATTTGAAGCTCTGAGAACATCTGCTGAACAGCTGTCTTTAAAACTACACTATCAGTGCTGTCAAAGATTAATGTGTATTCCTAGTCACCGGTACCTCGATTTGTCTACAGTATTATTGACCTCTGCAGTTAACTTTGTTTATATAGGAGGTGGATTTTTTTAACGCAAGGAAAAGCAAGGATGTCATTGGTTTGCTGGTTCAATCCCTGGTGGCTCTGTTCTATGGAGTTTGCATGTTCTCTCCTTGTGTATGTTTCTGTGGTTTTTCTGGTTTCCTCCCACAGTTTAAAACATATTGATGTTCTGGTTAATTGTGTCAGCAATTGTAAAAGGACCTACTGTTGGTGAATGGCTGTCTCTCCATGTGTAATTTCAATATATCAATCATATTTCCAGTGCTAGTTTGCTCAAAAAGCTCCAGTTTTTGACTGTTTAAGATTTTAAAATTGACATGTTTAACTGGGCTTTGGCATATATATATATATATATTGATATATATATATAAGTTATTTAGATTCACTACAGTGGCACAAACTTGCCACAAGAGGCAGCAGGAAAGCTGCCTTGTGTAGTTTGTGGGACTATGGTGACTAACGTGTAGCTACTACTTCAACGTCTCACTCTTGCACCTTTGTTTTTAAATCCCCAAAATGATGTTTCTAAAGCGAATCAGGTCTAAATCAAACAAGTGTTCAACACCTGTCATTTGTGTGCAAGGAAAAAATGTCACATATTTAATCGACTTTAAGACTTATTTGTTTTTTGACAACCGGAATGCCCCAGTGAGAACATCTTGCTTTTATTACAACACAGATTTCGATGTCGGCTACACTTGCAGAGTCAGTAAGTGTTGTGCAATAGATAATAAAAGTGTCATCAAACTGGACCACACTGCTCTAAAGGATGCCGATGACAATGTATTGTTCTTATTGCTGAACCTTGTTTGACACCATCTGTCTCCCAGCTGGTGATGTTGGCCTTAAAATAAACATACTTCAGACATAGACCGTGGTAAACTAAGTCTATCAAAGTCCCCACTTTGGAAATGAAATGTTGAGATGTGTCAATAATGCACCTCGAGATTAAAGAAATAATCTCGATATTTCAGACTCTTGCATCATTAAAAGTCAGTGTCTCCTTTAAGGAGAAAAAAGGAATTAACTAAGACCAAATGTATGAGAAAGTTGTCTGCCAGAAATCAACACATGAGAAGAGATACTGAAAAAAATATCTTGGCCCTGGGTTGTTCCTTAAGAAAAACACAACCAAATGTCATATGCTTTAAGTGTGACACTGCATGCAGATGACATTCACTTCTCCACCACTGGCGAAGATCGACCTGATGGCTCCGGATTTTCAACTCAAGATCTCCTAACGTTTGGAGGAACATTTGACCTGAAAGTTGAGGTGACCTCTGTGCAGTTGATGCAACAAACTTAAACAACTGAAAGGCAATTGTTTTGGACATAGTTGCTCGTACCACCATTTACCACGATTGCCACAGCCACAGAAGAAGGAATGCAGGGGCTGGCATTTCCTGGAGCTGAGTTTATAGCCACTTGTGTTTCCTGATGTTTTGTGATGCAGAATGTTGCATATTATGCCTTCAAAAGATGGGAGTTTGTGAAATCTGATGGGCTACGATAAAACTGGAGGAAGCTGGACGGAGTTCAAGCTCTGACACAAACATCTTTAAAACAGAACAGAAGAAACGCAGGGTAAGATTTACTCTTTTACTTTTATGGACGACTAAATCCTATTAAATCCCCAATGTTTGACAACCAGAGCTAAATACCTGCAGAATACTCCGTATTTCACCCACTCAGCCATCAACAAAAATGAATACACTCTAGGTTTTGATGGCTTTGCTAATTTACTAAAGAATTGCAAGTTAATTTTCCTCTTTCCTTGTTCTTTTATTATTTTTATTTTTATTTTTTTTATAGCCGACATCTCTTACTGTCTTGACTCCAAGCGATTTACTGACGCACTCCGAGTAAAAGTGCAATTAGCTCAGGAAAGTCTGGCTAATATCACCCCCAAAAGATCCACAACACCTTTTTATGTCTAATCACACCTGCTGCTTAAAGACAGTTAGACCCACTCGTCCATGAGGTAATGAAGTTTAGGAAGCCATAAAGATGGATAAATTGGCGGATGTTTAGTTAAAGTCGTGGTTTTCACTGTCGACGCTGGCAGTGCAGGGTTTGCTCAAATTTGACATCATCAGCGATATTTCAACTCACCTTCCCTGTCTAGTGATTGATTTCAACCTGCCCACTTTCCCTCTTATGTCAGTGAGGTCAGTTGCAGGGCAGCGTGAAGCTCAGACAGCCATGAGGCCAAGCCTGGACCAGCATTTACATGTGAACACGTCCGGGCCACACCCCGACGGTTCTCCATCACGGACAGGCTTTAACTGAAGGAAGTCCGTCCACATGTATTTTACATGAACCTGCAAGTGCTTTTGATCTGCACCTAGACTAGACTGTGTGTGGAATCACAGCGTTATCATCACTGTGTGACATTCAAAGAAAATAGCATGAACGCAACACGAATGACATTTGCCAGAATTGTGCATGTGAGAACAAATGTGTACCATAAATCTTTCAGAGCGGCATTTCAAATTCTTTGTGTCTTCACATGTAGCTCCAGTATCTACTTGCATTGGTCGATTCACACGGGATGAACTTTACAGGATTTTATTTTTAGACTTTACATTACCAGTATCGAGTGGATTTTAAGGGTCTCTGCATTTTAAAATTTGCCTTTGGAATTTTGAGAACATTAGAACCGTGGCTACTTTTGTAATGTCAGAACAGAAATATCCAGCTAGAACGAGACATTTCTGCCCAGGCAAATTAAAAAAAATGGTTAAGATTTGACCTGATGAAATAACATGAAGCATAAAAATAGTAAAAAGCAAATTAAGTGCTTTTTGTTTTTTAGTAAAGAAATGTTAGCTAAACTGTTTTGGATTAGCTAAGGGTTATTTTAGGATTTGTAAGCCTTAATGCTAGCAGGTCTGGCAATAAAATATTTAAATAATGTCAAGATCCCAGCACACACAAAAAAAAGCACAAAATATTAACTCCCCTAATGGCTGGAATTTTATTATAAGGCTTGTAAGGCTTAATGTAATAAGTCAGGCAACAACAAGAAGCTAAGAGAAACCTAAATACTAGCATCTGAAAAGGTTAGAATTTGCTTTAAGTTATCAATTGTAATTTGATATCTCTTAGAATTTGCTAAAAAAAAACTTAAGTTATCAATTGTAATTTGATATCTAAACTCCATATTAAGGTTTTTTTATTTTTTATTTTCACACTACTGTCTTCACAATTTTTTTTTATTTTCACACTACTGTCTTCACTCTGTGTGTGTGTTGAATTATGGCACGTCATGACTGACAGCTGGCTAAACCCTATTAAACTGGTCACTGCATTCCTTGGGTTGGCCGTTAAAAGTTGACCTTGGTGCCCCCTCAATACACACATTTACTGAGACAGGCTTGTAAAACACAGCGGATTTATCACCTTTTCTCACCTTTCTGTTTTTCAGAGGGTGTTTACTCTTCAGGCTGTTTTGGCTGTGACTTTATGTGTGACTACACCACCATTTAATACAGAGGTATGTGGTGAATACAGGAGCTCCCACTAATTCACCTCCACCGTGTTTAGTGCTTTTATCACCTGCTCTTTTCCTTTTATTTGACGCTGCAGTAAATAAAGAAACCCAGCCAACAAATTCAGGTCAGGAAATGAGATTTAATCTGATCAGAATCAAAGGCCCTTTTCATGAAAACAGTTTGAAATAAAAGATTGAGTCTCAGTGGACACTGGATATTATTGGTTTTCATGACACGGAGGTCACTCAGACTTTATGGCTGACTTTTTTAAAATACCTGATCCAGATTTTTTCATTTATTTCTGAGGGGAAAAGTCAGAGTTATTAATTGATTGATTTTAATTGCATTTTTTAAAAAAATTCAGGAATGTCTTTTTAATAAATTATCCCATTTATAGGTCCTAATGTCCTTCTCTGTCTAATCTGTTAACCAGAGGTCAAAGTTTTACTGTCTGTTTACTGTACGTATGCACTGAACATGCAAACACACACAAGCACACACACACACACACAGACAGACTGTTGAAATGCACCTCTTCCTTTCTTTTTTTTCTTCCTTTCCGAATTTCCTTTCCTCTTTTCCTCGGTCCTGTCTCTCTCTCTCTCTGAGCCAACAGGTTGCAGCAGCTTCACCCCCACCCCCTTCACCCAAACTTTTTCCTGCACTTCAGCAGATCCCGGCCAAGAAACTCTGCCATTCAACCAACAACACTTACATCTACCTCCTACCCAACACACACACACACACAAAGATAAACTCATAGATTTTCAAACAACTTTATTTTTTTATTTCCTCTGATAACACCATCTCCAGAAAATTTATATTTATTTTTCCGTTTTCTGCCTCACTTGGATAAAACACTGGGAATATTTTTTTTTTTTCCTCTCCAAGCCCTGAAGAAATTACCTGGACTGGAGACGATAATAAAGATTCACTTGTCTGCACGGGTAAGTGAGAATGCACAGGCCCATTACTTGAATCGCATTAATGTGGTGCTTTACAGAAAACTCCAAACTGCACAGAAACTGATACACATTTGCGGCCAAATGCAGACTGTGTTGAGTTTTACTGCGCTACGGTTTCTCCTTAAACAGCATAAACACTGCTAATTACCTCTCGTGTCTTGCATTGGCTCCTTGTTTTTCTAATTTTGTGAGATAACTAACAGTAATTGCAACAAATGTGGCACTCAATCTAAAAGCATGCAGCTGCAAATGTGTTCCTGCACATTCATCCCTGCATGTACGCTCCGCTTCTCCTTTGTGCGTAAAGAGCATTAACAAAAAAAGCAATGGCTTTGGTGTATTTTTTATAATCGTGTCCGCTCTTGTGTGTGAGTAGTGGGAGCATACCAGGTAGTAAGTCAGACCAGGAGATTGAAGTATGTAGAATGAATGAAATGTCGGCCATGTGCAGACTTGTTGGAGTTCATTGGCCACAAAAGCAAAGTCTCATAATGACTACAGGTTTACAAGGGCATGTGCGTTCATTTAATTTACGTCTTTACTGTGAACGCTCATGTGCGTCAAAAGGGATATCTGCGCTTCTGCTTTGGCACCCAATCAGCCTCTTACCTTCCAGGCAGTGATTCCACCCCTCATAGAAATAGCTGACGCGCTCTCAGACATGCAGAAAATTTGTTGTGGTCGTGTTTGTTCCGAATGTGGCAAAGAGATAGGGAAGAGAATTGGAGCCTAAGGGGCCACAGAATGTAGACTGCACAGAAACAATGAAGGACATTCTAGTCAAATGGATCATAACGGCAGGCTTATGGATAATATTTGCGAGTGTGTTTCATTAGACTGTCACTAAAGTCTGTCAGTGCAGACAGCAGGGGCTCTGATCCGCAGCCAAACTCTATAAAAGGCAACATCTGTCAGGAAATTGTTGAGCCCCACCCCCCTTTGTTAAAAGTCCAATAATATAAATAAGTAACAGTCCGAGTCCAAATGTTATTCCTATCCAAATGAAGTGCTTTCATATTGCTTCTGGGTTAATTTCCAGGCACTTTTTAAAATCAAATTTTAGCTTCTTTTGGCTAAGATATGCCCATTTTACCGTATAATTAGTTAAAAGTATAATATGGGAAAATGTTTGTATGTTTTGGTAAAACATACATCACAACCCTGTTGGGGGTGCTATATCACAGGTTTCCATCACAACCCTGTTGGGGGTGCTATATCTCACATTTTAATGCTTTTGGAGAGTATTTGAGAGTGCTGCCAAAAACAATCGTTTTATGTCAATCTGAGCCATAACCTTGGCAAAATAGGTATCGTAATAAAACAATTATGACATGACTCTTTTAGAATCCTTTTGTTGCATCGTGCTCTGCTGTATTTCAGCAGCGTTTGTGATGATGGTCTGGTTTATTTTTTTAAACATTTGTGTTTTTTAACCATATTTCTGTGACAGCATTTCTACATAGAAACCCTGTCCCATAATAGATGTATGATACCACCTTACCATGATACCATCGTTGATCTTTACTCCACTTCAGTTGGAGGATGATACATGCAGAGACATATCCTAGATCTGCATTGGTATGAGAGAGGAAGAATGTGGTTACTGGATGTCTTACATTAGAGTTCAAGCTGTGCCAGGACTCACCACCATCTGCAGAGACTATAAACCAGTCAACTCTCTGCATATTCTCACTCACTTCAACCAGGTGGCCATATCAGATGGAGGAATTTTCCGGAATTTCAATTCATTTGCATTTCTCTGATTTATTTAAATGGCATCATGATTCTCATTCAGGAGTGGGGGGAAAATAACACGATCTCATCTGCAAACATTGTAAATGCCGAACTGGTGCATAGCTTGATTAACCGAGCGTGAATCATTAAAGAACTCATGTCATGTTTTCATCTCATGTAAAACAGTCGAGCAAAGGCTAAGATCTCTCTTTGATGTCGTGCTTATGAATTTGTAAAAGAACATGCCCGCAAACACACACACACACACACACACACCCGCTAAATTGTGTGGAGACGTGGGGTTTTATAACAGGCTAATGTAAAACATAAGAGCACTGAGCGTTTCCCTGGGATCAGAGTTAATGTGTTGAACATTCTGCTCTCTGATGGAAGTCCCTTCATTTTAAATGGGATCATCCTTTGACTGGTGCATAATTCATCTGCCACTGTGTTGGTTGTAATGATTTAAGTGCTTGATCTACTCTACTTCTGCGTTAATTACGCTCACTTAACTCCTTGTTGTTGTCGTGGTTGTTTTTGCCACGCCGCGTTGTTAGTTGCTCTTAAATGTCACGTCTCTCTGGAGGTGCCAAACCCATTACCAGAACTGTTGGTACATTTTTTTTTTTTAAATTGCAACAAAAAGTGAAAAACACAATGTAGTAACACGATACCGATAAGGGAAAAAGTTACTGTGATTCACACTTTATTTAATGACGTCCAAAACAGACGTATAAATTACACTTTTATTCGCTTTATAAAGTGGTTACCAATGAATGAACTTGCTAATGGAGTAACCTCCAAGAACGTTTCTGTTATGACCATTCCAGTTTTCCTTTGCCTCTGTCGGACATTTTTTAGGAGTGTACTGTAGGAATCAATTTGTTATTAGAGCAACCAATATCATTGTTTTTTTAATTAAACAGTTTTGTTTTTCCTGATGCAACACTACTCCTGTGACATTAACATGCTACTGATAATAGTGCTGTTGCATCTTCACGAAGCACAGTACAGTACAGTACAGTACAGTACAGTACAGTAGTTCACCAAGGCAGTGAAGCCTCTGTAGTATCTCACTGGTCGTGAGCTGCCTCCTCCACACAGCACATTACACTCAGTCAGAAGCCGTAGCTCCAGGGCTAATTTCTTTCATGCTAACCTGAAGTTTCCTGTCTGTTGAAGAAGAAAGAGCAGGATTTTCACAGTGTCCCAGAGCGTTACTGTACCTCTATTCACTCTCACAGACAGCTAATATTATCCCTCCGTCTAGATTCTCTGCAATGAAAAGCTGTGTTCCCGGCAGCGAGGTTCATACGTCTGAATGTCCCTGTGCTGAGGTTATTACTTCACAACCACAGATCATAGCCAACATACAGGGCTGATGTTTGAGCATGTAGCTATCCTTCCTCGACATAGGTGCTGTCTACTGTACAGTAGGTGGTGCTAAAAAAGTATTTAAATGGGTTCTTATATGCATGGTCTACTGTATTATTTCTTCTAAGTTACATGTTCTACACTTGGTCAAATCTATTTTCACAAGAATTAAGGGAAACATTTAAGTTGATCTTATAGATTTTCACCCAAATTCCTTTGTTAGTTGTGTTTCTTTACGTAAACCCTGTAACATTTGCCCTTGTAACTGCATCAACAAGTTCTCATGAGAGTTAGATAGAAGGAGAATTTGATTTCTTTGTTGACTTTTCCTTACAGTTTTTACAGTGCTGTCACGTAGCCCTGGTCAGACCTGAAACACCAGAGCCACAGCAACACACCAACGAAAACAGAGGGCAGGTAGAGGCTGTAATTAGACATGCCCTGTGCCTATTATTACAGATTTGCCATAGTGGTAGATGGTTTTTTTTGTTGCTTTTTTTACAGAAAGGTGGTCTGCTCACACACATTTGACATGATTAGCCATGCTCTGTCAGACTCTCAGCCTCTGTAGATTATGCTCATCTCTGCAGTGTGAGTTCCAGGGCATTGCAGGGCCTCAGGCCAACTGTCTAGCACAGGTGCATATGGCTCACAGGTTTGACCAGAGCAGACAACTTTGGAGCCGGGTCAGAAACTAGTGGAGGCTTGCGGCTAAAATATCCTCAATCTATCTGATATTGCCCTTGACAACCGTATGACAGATGCTTTTATTCCCTAAGTTAAATAGAAAGTTAACTTTGGCAAAGTCCAAGTTGAAATGTCACGCCAGTCTTCCTTAGCTGACTCTTGCGTGTCAGTTGCGTGTTACGTTTGTTGCTCTTGAGTCATAGATTGTGAAATATATTTATAAAAAAGACCAGCAGCCAGTCACAAGTTTGGTCAAAAAAGTAAAGTAAACTTTAAAGTAAATTTAAATTAGCTAACAGATATCATAAAGATGGTGAAATTAATGTTATAAGATCAAAAATAAGAAAGGAAACATGAATATGTCAAAGAAAGAAAGGTAAAGGCTGACAAAACTAGAAGGTTTGGTTGGATACCTAAATACTTGCAAAACAGCAGAAAGTAGTACTCTTTGAATCAAACATAACTCAAAAGATCAGGTCAAATGTAGTACTACTACATTAGTAATGTTCTCGATGTTAGGCCAGGACATTTGTCTCAGCAATAAAGCCTCTATTTTTGGTTTTTATGTATGAGGGAAATGAAGAGGTATGGAAAAACTTTTTAATTATCCCCGAAAAAATGTTGAAAATTAACATAACAGCTGCAGCCATCAAACAGATTGAGTCCATAAGAAGCTCTGACATTAATCATCTGTTGCTCTGGGTAATTACTTTTATTGTCCACTGTTGTCTGGATAAGAGCCTGTAATAGCTGCGTTCGTGCTGGACAGTTTAAAAGCCTTTTTGATGCTTTCTTTTCCCCCGTGTCATTGTAATCTGTTGTATAGAATAATTTGATTTTTTTTATACAACAATGGCAGCCAGTAAAAACTCACACAAATCACTGTGCGTGTTGTCTCACTCCATGTATCTCTTTACTTTCAGATTAAAGACAAATCATAGCCTGGATTGATGATCTCACAGTGGATACTGGGATTTGTGTTTATCAAGAGAAGATCTGGAAGGAGGAGAAGGTGATTGAAGGAGGAAGAGGAGAAGGAAGAGGAGGAGCTGAGAAGGAGTATGGGCCTCTCCTCTGTGTGGATCTTTCTTTTGTCCCTTTTTCTCTACCATCAAAGAGTCACGGGACAGATTGAAGGTAATTCAACTTTTAAATAAAGCACCAACATTCTTTATCCTTTTTTTGACTCGACCAATTTAGTTACTCATTAAAATAGTTTAAGTATCAATCATCAAAACTCTCTTATTTCTTTTTTATCTGTTCTCTTCAATGAAAGTCAAATACCACCATATGGCGCCAAACATTGTGTAATTCTGAGTCAGACCCTTATGTTTCAGCATCAAAAATCTGCTACGAATTATACCCAGATGCTGAGGCCAAAAAAGAGGCCAATGTTTCACTGAACACAGTCTGTTCTGATGCTCCACAGTACCGATCCAGGTGTGATCGGCCGACACTCTCAACACCTTCACTTACTGTCCCGACTGTGTCTAGTCGGAATTCAAACATCTGTTTACCTCATGTTCGTTACACCGACCTGTCAAATCCAGGCCGAAGACACACAACCTTAGCCCCTTGTTCTGTCAGAGGTCATCAAAAGGTCAAGTTAGCCAAGTTAGATTTACCCACAAGAGACATTTTTGTCAAAGATTAATTGGTGAAATTGTTTTGGTGAAAAGGAGACGTAGCAAAACGATGCTACTGGTAGCTAGCTAACTTAGCAGCTGGAATTTAACAAACATTAGCTGACCAAAAAAGTCTAAAAGAGCCATCATTAGCAACAGAGGCTTAAATGATTTAAGTAAGGCAGGAGAGATTGTTGGATGAGAAGTAATTCACAAAATGAGTTTGGCTGAAACATGCTTTATTAAATTAGCTAAAACAATCAACCATTAAATTCAGTTTGAAGTTTGACTAAAATAGTGAGAAGAAGAAGTTTGTGTTAAATCCAAACTTAAGGCAAATTTTACTTCTCTAACAGTAACCACTGTAACAGATTCCCAAGTTTCTGGTGACTAATTCTTTAATTCATCAGAGCTGTTGAAGTGCTTCTAATTTAACACTAATTATTCGACAGTGTAAGAGTCAGAACCATCAATATTTTTATATAAAGATATAGTCACGTAAATGAAGTGGGAGAAAAATAAAAATGTTTTAAACTGATGCTAAATTAACACTGTTAACTGAACAGTGTAAGCGTTGGTTGATCAATATCTTCACAGAAATAAAGAGTCAGAGAAGAAAGTAATGAAAATAACAAGGGAATAGTCTTTCAGTCTAGAAACCTTAAGTGTTTTTTTAGTCAGAATTTAGGCCCTAAATC